CTTGTTTGTTTTATTTATATACACAAGTTTTTTTTCTTTGCATAAATGTATTGGTCGAGATAATCCGCTAATGTTCAACATATATAACAATAGAACCAGTTTTTTTAGCAAGTAACAAAATAGCGTGCTATAGTTAAATAGCGTCGACCTTATATATAATACGCTATTAGCGAGCCATTGTATATTTTTAGGGAAAGCAATGATGGTGGTTTATATTTCATGCAAAAATAAGAATACACCTTTTGATGAAACGTCCACAAAGAAATCCGAAAGCTCTGACATCCAAACAATAGTTTGGGAGGCCTATGACTTTCTTGCCAACACATTGGCCACCACATTGATTTATTTAGCGAGACAATTCTGAGGACACTAAAGTGCTATTAGCGACGCCTATGACTTTCTTGCCAACACATTGACGCGCTATTTTTTCTAGTGTTTTTTACATGATTTATTTACCATGATTGTCCTTAATTAGTACGGCAAGTCCACAACACCATTTATTTACAATTGGTGGGTCTACTTCGGCATGACATCAGCCCCCGGCATTTCACTGCAGGCGGTGGTCCACCGGATCAAGCACCGCCGGCGAGACGGCCGGGTCTCTCACTATGGCCTGGAGATCCCCATCTTCGGCCCCCAACGCGGCGTTCAGGAAGGCCACCATGATCCCGGCGACGCACCGCCTCATGGCGTCCCTGGGCCCGTCGCCGCTCTCGCAGACGAGCCCGGTGATGAGCGCGGGTGCGTCGTCGTCCAGCAGGTCCAGGTGCCCGTGGTCCCTGGCCACGACGTGGTAGCACGGCGGCCGGCACTCGCGGTAGAACTCGGCGTGGCCCACCTCCGCGGGCGCGCAGGTCGGGAGGAGCCCGCCCTTCCCCTCCTCGCCGAGCCCGGTGCCGACGACCAGCACGGGCATCCCCGCCGTCAACGTGTCGAAGGAGGACGGCTCGTGGGTGAGGATCTCGGGCGGGAGCTGGGCGTTCCTCCCGGCGCCGGCGACGGGGTCGAGGCCGATCAGAGCCGAGAAGCTGACCTCCAGGCGGGTGTCGCCGTACCCTAGCGCCAGCGCGAAGGCCGTGTGGCCGCCCCGGCTGTGGCCGGCAAGGGCAAGCCTCGGGAGCTCCGGATCGACGCCGTCGGGGAGCACGGAGGGGAGGCCGCCCGGGAGCCAGTCCGCGACCCTGGCCGCCGCCGCGATGTCCTCGCCGTCGCCCAACGGCGGCAGCAGGCTGTTGCTGACGCTGAACTGTGGTGCGACCGTGATGTAGCCGTGGGACGCGACGTGCCGGAGGAGGTGCTGGTAGTAGTGGTTGCGGAGGAGGAAGCCGTGCAGGAGCATGACGACCGGGTACGTCCCCGCGTCCTTGGGCGCCACGATCAGCACCGGAACCGGCGGTGCCGGTGCCGCGTCGTTGGCGTCCACCTCGATGTCCTCAACTGCATGCTTCCCCGGCTCGAACACTGAGGTGCCGGACTTGTCCATCGTCGCCATCTCTGCTGCTGCCGTGGATGATAGGTCTGTGTCTTGACGATGAGAAGAGGGTGCGTGGCAGATTTGTAGGAGGATTGGCAAAGTTGAAGAAGGTAACTAATTACTTAATTTGGTAGTGGTCGATCTAGTTCAGCTTAATTTTGCTTGCATGGAAATGAGAAGAACGTGTTGGAGAGATTCAGGATTTTTATGCACATGCATGAATGAGACTGCTCAAGGAGGAAAAGAATCGATATATGATACTCCCTCCGTCCGGAAATACTTGTCATCAAAATGGATAAAAAGGGTTATATTGTATCTAGACGTATTTTAATTCTAAATACATCTCTTTTTATCCATTTTGATGACAAGTATTTTCGGACGGAGGGAGTATATGACTGGATAATCAATGATCAAACTCATAGATGCGTGCAAGAATTTCATATTTCCTAAAGTGCACTTTGTTTCTCGCTCGATGGTAGTCGTTGGTTCTTCGTCTTCTCCTTCCTTTCTTTCCATCATGTCCTGGCTGAGTCCGATTAGATCTTGCATGCCTTGTTAGTGTTGTCTGCCTCGGCTCAACCGCTTGGGAAACGAGAAGAGCGTGTTGGAGAAATGCAGGTTTCTGATGCACATTGGTGTTCATTGCTGAAAAGAGATGGCAAGTTCATGAGCATCTTAAAAAAAGTATTAGGCATTAATTATGCTTGCAATTGTCGGATTAAAGACATGCCTAGTTATTTTTCTAATCCGTTGTTTCACTGTACACAATTTTTTTTTCGATGAACCTTTTTAAAATTACACTATAGACAAATAAGCAGCAGTGTTGTTCAGAATATCGCCGTATGACACAAGAACGTATTCTTATTAATTCCCTAATCAAAACTTCATGTTGGTCGAATTAACTTGAATTTAAACAATGATCATTGAGAACATTGGTTCAAATGATAGCCAATATTGACCGTCAAACTCGCCCAACCACGTCGCAGCCATGGTGCGCACTGGGTGGGAGTGTGAGGGAGGGATGGGGCGCCGAGCATGAGGCGGCAATGGCGACGCACATGACAGGAAGACCCAACTCCTTTATGTAAGTCCCCAATCTCCTTTATTTAGGTTTTCAGTAGTAATTCTGGCCAAAGGCCAAGGAACTCATATACGCTAGCACCGAAGGAGGAAAATAACCATGGAGATAACTGATTTATTCACGACCAAATTACTTATGGACCCGTCAGTGTAGAGTTGTTTTGCAGCAGTGAATTATCTCTTCGTACAATGTTGAAAGCAAACCAAAGCGGTTTCTAACGATACTAGAGTACATGTTTGCTAGTTCCATATACACCATCAGATGTTACATTTCTTATCAGTTACAGGTAAAACAACACTTTTTCACCAAGTAGCTAGGTAGGTAGTAGAGACGAAACCACATGATACTATTTCATCCTCATAGCCATAGGCACTACAGCGCAGGAAAGGTGATGCCAGCCTGCAAAAAATCAACCTGACCTTCACCACCTTTAATCGTAGATAGCTCGTCGCTCGCGCGTCGTGCCGTTGGCCTATGTGATGGATTCGGCTCTAGGCACTGAACTGCAACACTGAGAATGCGGTATATTTCTCTAGCAGTCTCAGCATCTGGAATCATAAGCCTGGGGTCCAGTAGATCTAGCAGGCACACGACATTGTTCTTGGTGGCCAATGACAGGGATGAGAGGAAATCGCCTGGATGAGATCCCATAAATAGCTCCAAAACAAGCACTCCGAAGCTGTATACGTCACATTTCTCCGTCACATTTTCTGTATATGCTAGCTCTGCAATTAATACAAAATAATTAGTGTATATGTTGCAATTAAAACAGCTCGAATTCCATCATAGTTATTAGATTACATCATCTACGTACACTGCTAAAACTAGTAACCGAGCTTATATTTTTGTTTACCTGGGGCAAGATAGCCTTTCGTCCCAGCAAGCCTTGTGAAATTCTCGCCGTAAATATTGAGAACTTTAGCCGTACCGAAGTCAGAGATGCAAGCTCTAAATTCTTGATCAAGCAAAATGTTGTTGCTTGTTATGTCTCTATGGACTATTGGTGACGAACAATCATGATGCATGTAGGCCAAAGCATGAACCACACCCAACACAATACAAATCCGCCTTCTCCAATCCAATTCAATTGCCCTTTCATTGTCCTTTAGTGTTTTTGCCAAGTCTCCTCTCTCCATATATTCATAGATAAGGAAGCTGCCTTGGCTAGAGGAACAATACCCAAAAAGTTTTACGACGTTTCGGTGACGAATCTGCACCAATGCCTCGATTTCACGAATGAACACAAGTTCGTTCACGCGACAATCATCTTCTATCATGTGTATCTTCTTCACTGCAAATATTTCGCATGTTGCAAGTCTAGCTTTGTAGACTGATCCATGTCCCCCGATACCAATGCAATGCATCTCACTAAAATCGTTGGTTGCTTCAACGATTTCCTTGAAGACAATTTTTCCATCAAAACTCCAAATAGAAAAGACGTTTGCTTGTATTACTTTATCGGTGTTAGTTGCCTTGGTTTTCCTTCTTTTATGCCAGAACATCAATATCACCGCAATAAGAACAAGAAATAGCAGAGCAGGAATAGTGGTTAGTACATGTATTTTGTATCCTTTCCTCTTGCCTCTGCTTTGAGTTGCACTACTACAAGGGGGCAATCCTTTCACAACACCACATAGCTTCTTATTATGCATGAACTGCTGGATTGGAGCTTGTCGGAAGACCTTACTGTCCGGGACCTGCCCTTCCAATTTGTTGTAAGATACATCAATGGATATCAAGCTTTCCATACTTTGAAATGATGATGGGATGGAGCCATTAAGTTCATTGTGTGAAAGATTTAGATTAGCTAGCATGATTAGACCACTAAGTTGGCTTGGTATTGCCCCAGTAAATGAATTGTCACTTATATCCAATTGGTCATGTAAGTTGCGCAATAACCCTAGCTTGGCGGGGATGTTTTCTTTAAAGTTATTGCCATTCAGCTTCAAAAAGCGAAGGTTCAAACAATGCTCGATTGAATCTTGTACCAAACCATTTAGGTTATTTGATGACAAATCCAAAAACTCTAGATTGGATAGCAATCCAATTTCTTCTGGAATGCTTCCATGGAGCAAATTTTCTGCGAGGTTGAGGTTAAACATTTTCTGTAAATTGCCTAGTGCACCCGGAATCTCTCCTTCAAGCTTGTTTGAAGAAAGATCAAGTATCCCTAGCTGAGATAGGTTCCCCATACTTGCGGGTATTCCCCCTGTAAGGTTGTTTTTTGAGAAGCGTAGCATTGTAAGGTTATGACATCCTCCCCACTGATAAGATAATTGACCAAATAGTTTATTTGAGTTCATATCCATATACACCAAATTTGGATAAACACCCATCTTAGAAATATCTCCTTCTATTTGATTCCTTTCAAGACGAAGTCTGACTAGGCTTCTGCAGTTTACCAAACTTGATGGTAGAGGTCCATTGAGATTGTTGTCAGATGCAGTTAATATCTTGAGCATGCCACCAACGCACAAGTCAGGTGGCAAGGGACCAGAGAGATTGTTACGATCAAATTGTAGATCTTCGAGATCCATCAAGGTGCCAATTTCTCGTGGAACATGTCCAGAGAGTTGATTGTCAAATAGTTTCAGGGTAGTGAGCTTGGTCAAATTTCCAAAGGTATTGGGGATGGGACCCATGAATGTGTTGTTGTAAAGTCCCAAGTATTCTAGACTCACGAGGGAACCTAGTTCTCGAGGAACATCTCCGGAGAGTTGGTTAAAACAAAGGTCTAAGGTAGTGAGCTTGGTCAAATTTCCAAAGATATCAGGGATGGAACCCATGAGTTTGTTTTCACCAAGTTGCAAGTCTTTCAGATTCACCAGGTAACCTAGTTCTCGAGGAATACGCTGAGAAAGTTGGTTACCCCATAGGTACAAGGTAGTGAGCTTGGTCAAATTTCCAAAGGTATCAGGGATGGAACCCATGAGTTTGTTTTCAC